TCCTTCATGTGGGAAAACACAGAATTGGAGCAGATTTCCTGGGAAGAACTTTCTAGTTTTTACTTTCTAGTCTAACAACGAAGTCCGTTAAGTGACCTCCAAGGAATTCACGAGGCTCCTACTCATAAAATGAGACCAGCCTACGTTGGGCACTATTTACTGGGCACTTTCTGCTTTACAATAACTATATACAGTGGGTAATTATCCCCGTTTTACAGATGAGGTAACAGAGGCTGAGTAACTTGCCCAGAATCAGACAGTTCCTAGTGCCAGAGGAAGTACATTAAGGAGAAAAAAGTACCCAAGAATTACCTTAGGACCCATTTCCACATCTTTTTGTCCGCTAAGTGATATTTACTGCCTGAGAATGTGTTGAAAACCCTGTCTGTGTGGCTTTAATGACCTGAACCCTGACTATGACGCCATCAAGCCATCCAGGCTAGGGGGCCCATCTGTTTCTGAGAGTCGTGCATTCATCTAGATATCTTAGATACCCAGTGGAGCATTTGTAACCCATTTCTCTCAGGTTTTATTGACACCCAAGGTCTTCCTAACTTGCTTTTTTCCTCCCAGTCATTTTGCTCTTTCCAAGATTCTCTGGTATGTGTTCTAAAATGCTATTACGGGGTGGGCAGGTGGCAGAAATTGTAATTATTGATATCAGGATTGATACTAGGAACATTTGAGGTACCTTTCTGTTCTCCCTTCCCTTTAATAGAAGTTTTTACGGTTTTTGGTTCGTTAGGTATTGTCTCATTAAACCTGCTAGGTGTATCTGCCTTTCCTTTGCAGAGTGCGTAAGTGAGTAGATGAAACCCGCCCACTGGGCCTGAGGTGGTAGCTTCTGCATCAGCAAGAGTGACGTGCTTAATATTCAGAATGAGTATGAGGACGCAGTTAGACGAGAAGGTGTCTGGGGCATAATCAGCTCCTTGAGGATCCTGCTGCTCCTTTGCTGGAAGCCCTGACCTCACTGTCTCATCCCTTGAAAGCCAAAGGCGCAGTGTCTGCCCTGGACTGCAGGAATCCTGCCGGAAGCACAGGCCCCTTGCTCCTCATCTCCGGGGGTCCCTGAGTTCACTGGGAAAGTCCACAGCATGTGCACGGAGCCACGGGCTGACAGGACAGCAGGGCAAGAGGACAGGAGGTGTTCCATTATTTTCTTCTCAGTGCCCAGGGCTTCTCCCAGAAGGCAGCACGGTGTAGCTGTGGGTCAGGGTACTATCTTTCCTTCCACTTCCTTCCCTCTTGAGTAGACACCCCTATCTCTACTTTCCATACTGACTTTATTTTTCTTTTCATCAAAAAGGTTTCATTTGATTCTGCAGCTTCCCATGTAAAAATCTGGGCAGCCCTCCAGAGAGCCACAGTAGGGAGTGACGCTCCAAATCTGTCACTGCAGGGACATGCTCCAGCCCTGGCCTGGGCAGGGCCTGGAGGCCTCTGCCTTGTGGGGATCAGGGCCAGGGGCATGCCAGGGAAGGGCCAGGGGTGGGGGGCCCGAAGGGGTGGTGACTCAGAGGCCCCAGCGCTGTGCCCAGTGGCTGTTTCTGTTTTGTAACTGGCTAACTGTGAGCTTTGTCTTGGCCTCCTGGCCTTTAGCCTTGTGCCCAGATAGCACCCTACCGGACCTACTTGCCCCTACCGCAAGTAAATGCGCACAAAATTCCGTTTTCTTCCAACATTTGAATCAGCTGGCCTTGCTCATAGCTTAGCACTGCGAGTGTAGAGAGTGGGAGAGCTGGCCTCCAGGCCTTCCCAGGGCTGTACAGACAGCACTGAAGGTAATGTATGCCAAAGGAAGGGGAGGCGGCAATTACATCAACATTCTTCAGTCAGCTTTTAAATTACTATTATATATGCCCCCTGTAGAAACTTTTTAAAACTGGTTTACCAGGATTGGTGGTAATAGCTACCCTAATCCTATTCCTAAAATGTGATCATTGTCAATTATTATTGTTAACACTTTGATCTATTTCTTTCTAATCTCTTTAGGTATGTAATTATTCATAACATGGCTGAGGTCATGTTGAATGTTCAATTTTGTAAGCATTTTAGTGCTTCATTTAAACGTTTTCTTCATAAAATTCTTTTTTTTTTTAATATTTTATTTATTTATTTGACAGAGATCACAAGTAGGCAGAGAGGCAGGCAGAGAGAGAGGAGGAAGCAGGCTCCCCGCTGAGCAGAGAGCCCGATGTGGGGCTCAATCCCAGGACCCTGGGATCATGACCTGAGCCGAAGGCAGAGGCTTTAACCCACTGAGCCACCCAGGTGCCCCATAAAATTCTTTTTTTAAGATTTATTTGAGGGAGCGTGTGTGTGCGTACAAGCAAGGGCAGGGGAGAGGGAGGGAGAGAATCTCCAGGCTCCCGCTGAGCTCAGAGCCTGACGTGGGGCTCGATCTCAGGCCCCTGAATCATGACCTGAGCTTGAAACCAAGAGTCAGCACTTAACTGGCTGAGCCACCCAGGGACCCCTTCATAAACATCATCATCACTATAAAATATGGGGGTAAGAGGTCAAAAGATGTTTCATTCAAATGCTCATCAGTCAGCGAGTTATTTGCAAATTTTACTAAAACTTCCAAATTAAATCCAGAGTAATACCTTGCCCGTGTCACTTGGCAAACATTGGCGTGTGGACAGCTGCGTTTGGTTCCCACCACAAACCGTGAAGGACAAAGTGCTGCTGTTGGGAACCTCACGCGCAGCCCCAGGGGCCTGACACCAGACACAGAAGTTTCCTGGGGTCCCACAAGCCACACACTGAGCGAAAACCCAGAACTCAAGCAGCAGACAGTTTCGTGTCTCCATTAGCTTCTCGGGACCCCTGCTTTTCCCTACAGTTAATGCCATTAACAGAAGAGTCATTCTTTCCTGCTGTGGTTTCAGTAAAATGGGTTAGACTTTCTTTTCTTGTTTTGTTTTTTTTTTTAATTTAAGTGATTAATTAACATATTTGTTTCAGGGGTATGGATCTGTGATTCATCAGTCTAATATAACACCCAGTGCTCATTACATCACGGGCGCCCTTCTTAATGCCCATCACCCAGTCACCCCTTGCCACCTCCCTTCCAGCAGCCCTCAGTTTGTTTCCTAAGATTAAGAGTCTCTTGATTTGTCTCCCTCTCTGGTTTCGTCTTGTTTCGTTTTTTCGTCTCTTCCCTTATGCTCCTGTTTTGTTTATTAAATTCCTCATATCCGCAAGATCCTATGATACTTACCTATCTCTGATTGACTTACTTCACTTCGCATAATACCCTCTAGTTCCATCCACGTTGTTGCAAACAGCAAGATTTCATTCTCTTTTATGGCTGAAAGTATTGCATTGTATATTGTGGTGTGTACCACATCGTCTTTGTCCATTCATCTGTCGATGGACAAATACGTCCTTTCCATAGTTTGGTTATTGTGGACATTGCTGCTGTAAGCATAGAGGTGCACGTGCCCCTTCGGATCCCTACATTTGTATCCTTGGGGTAAATGGGGGTTAAACTTTTAAAAGTCTGGTGAAATTAGAGGTACTTGACAGGTTTTATTGAACTTTGCTTTGACAAAAGGCCGACTCCAAACTGATAATATGTATGCATGACTTCTTTTCATTGACTTTCTGATTGTTCAGCAAATGCTTCTCCGGTTTGAAGACTGTATTCAAGGACTGTAAGACACAGGTCCAGAAGGATGGTTATGTAAGAAAATACTTTTTTTTTTGACAAAAAGAAAAAATTCCTAAGCTGCTTATACTCGGTGTCATTCATATTCTTCAAAGGGATGTTGATGTACGTTTTGATTGGTTATGTTACAGTGTGATGACACCTAAAAAAATCCAGCTTTTTAACAGTGTGGACAAGGATGGTAACCTCTGTTTACTATCTTTAAAAAAAAAAAAAAAGTGAGAAAAAATGCAGAAGGCAGACAGTGATACTTTAAATTTGGGGTTTAGATTAAATATTTGTTACTTTCTGTAATGTGACAAAAACAGTCTAAGAAAATCCACAGCTGAGACAGATAGTGGCAATAATTCCCGCGAATTAGGTTATTAACTAAGCTACCAAGACCTTTAAAAGCAATTAGTTAATACCGCTCCTGAAAGGGCTCTAATAGGAATCTCAAGATGCAGGAATTGTTTATGCAGTGGTACAAAAAATGTCAGGGTTCCATGTGGCGTTAATACCTGTTCAGTTTTATTGTAATTATTCAATGAATCTATGAGATTGAGCTTCAGAAAATTAGTGCAACAGTTAACGAAAGATGCCGTAACTGAATCTGCACGTGGGAACCCCGGGCAGCAGTGTCCACGTAGGGAAGCAGGTTTACAGCACAGGGTCCTCCTGCTTACTATAGAGCTAGGAGTGAATCCGTCCTTAAAAACGTGTATGGTATTATTGATTTAAAACTAGTGAAACATTAGTTTGCAGTACCTTCATTTTAAAAAGCATCACTGGATGCTAATGTTACAACTTGAGTCAAAGAAAACAAGAGAACGTCTCTTCTGTGAGTGGTTGTTGACCCAAATTCATCTCAGAGTGACTGTGACCTAAAAGTGTTCGGGGGGGGGGGGCACCTGGGTGGCTCAGTTGGTTAAGCAACTGCCTTCAGCTCAGGTCATGATCCCGGAGTCTCAGGATCGAGTCCCACATCGGGCTCCCAGCTCCAAGGGGAGTCCGCTTCTCCCTCTGACCTTCTCACCTCTCATGTTCTCTCTTACTGTCACTCTCTCAAATAAATAAATAAAATCTTTAAAAAAAAGAAAAAAGTTTTTAGTGAATTGTGCTGAGCCCTAAAAATTCTCCCCAAACCGTAGCATCTGTTCTGTATTTACAAACTGAAATAACTACGGATGTCAAAAGAAAGAAGATTCCATTTCCTTTAGAAAATAATCTTTTTTTTTTTTTTTTTTTTAGAAGTTTGCATCAAAACTCTTTTTAAACCTCAAAGCCTCTCATTTTCTTGTCACAGGATAGCTCCTGTGTAATTCTCGCCCTTTCTTGCCCTCAGTGCCCTGCCAGACCGTTCTGGATTACCTGAAGACCGTGCTACAGCACCACAACCAGCTCCTGGTCCCGCAGCCTACCGAGCAGCCCACCGAGGTAGGTGTCTGGCAGAAAGGGAGATGTGGGTCCCTCGAAGTTTCCTTAAGACGAAACTTCTTGATAGCGTACAGGGTCCACCCGAGCACGTTGGCTAGTGAGACACAGTGTTGGCTCCCTGAGGTTTGGGGTTCTTAGTACCAGTGGGGGAAGAGCGAAATTCCCCAAGATTGAACGCTGTACGCGGACGAGGGCGGGGGGATGCGGATAAAGAAACAGCAGTTCGAATAGTGGAGGCCAGTCTGGAGGCTTGCTTTTGGGAAAGGCTGAAATGGAGACACCAAGCTGCCCTTCTCTGGCAGAGCCAATGTTCCAGAAAGCGCCTTGCTCTCGGGCACCTCCCACACTGAGTGGGCTCCTCAAGTATTAGGTGGATGTCTTCCGGACACTGGGCTCCAGAACATATCTTCCTCTGGACCTCAATAGAAGCAACCGCAGTCTCTTCCAAAGTGCAGGAGCGATGACCTGTTCTGCTGAGAGCAGTAGGTCAGTGGAAACATGGTACGTTCCTACAAGATTCTCAAGGCTCGGTTTTGAATATGTGTTACTTTCATCTTACGAATTTCAGAACCTAAATCCAGTGAACGAAGGAATTGCCGGGATTAGGAACATCTTGGACTGATAACAGTAGATAAGTTCTTTTCTCGTAGTTAAGTTTCCCTCCCTCGGCAAGGTGAGTCATTAATGCTGGTGATGGCAGGCCGTTGACCCTCTCTCTTACCTCATCATCACATAGCCTCCCACACTCCATGTCTATTAAAATCATCTCAAGGCTCCATCCTCGTGCGTACCATTTCATAGATCCAGCAGCAAACCTACTCTTCCCACCCTGACCCCATGCCTCCCCTACTGGAGAAGTATGAGCACACGCTCCTTTCCACATTTCTGCATGTAAGAGAGACCAGAGGATGGAAAGGCGGGAGCCAATCTGGTATGCATTGAAACCCTCTTACCCCCAGGTGCAGCGTGAGACCTGTTTGGCCATCACTCCCTTCCCCTGAAGTTTGGAGAAGCTATTTCGAAGGTCTCTGCCTTTCCTCCAGCCCCCATCCCTGGTCCCACCACCCTCTCTCTTGAATTTAGCCAAAAAGTAAGCAATACCAAGTTGAACTCAATCCAGTGAATTCTGCCACACTGATTTCTACCTTCCTGCACACCTGGCACCCCCATCCAGGAAGCAGCACCCCTCCCTCCCCTTTGCCGACACCCACCCCCACCCCATCTGTCCTTTCATCTCTGCTGCCCCCCCCACCCCCAGCAGCCTCTGTCAGCCCTTGACTCTGCCCCACACTGCATCTGGCACTGGGAAGGTGGGACACCAGTCTCATCCCACGCGCGTCCCCGGTGCCTGTTGTTGAAGGCACTTAGAGAACGGTGACCTCATTTTTCCTGGGGATCAAACACTTGCAAGTCTGGTCTGTGTTTGTTACTCCACTCTTGGTTTCCACTTGCTCTTCCGTCCCCCGTAATCTGGCTGCACCTCGACTGCTTCCCGGAGTCCGCTGCAGGTGGCCCTGGTGACTCTCCCAGATGTGCCGTGTGCGGGCCCGTCCTCCGGCCCTCGTCCTCCCCAAGACCTCACCCTCCTCCTCCATGCTCAGGGCTCTCTCCTGGCTCCCCGTCCTTTCTTCTGCTGTAAGGAGTTTTCCATCCACTGTTGTCCAGAATGCCACCCTCCATCCCCTTCCCTCGCTGTCCACCGCCCTTCCCCCGCCCAGTCGTGTTCTTCTCTGAACACCAGCTGCGTGCAGGTCAACGAGTCCCAGATCAAGATCTGGGCTACCAGTCTCCAGCCTGCCTGACCAACAGTGGGATACCTTGCACCCTCGAACCCCCAGCACAGCCTCTGAATACCCATCCCTACCCCGGTTTTCTCTCCAGTAAAGGCAGCACCAACCCCCGCAGAAATTTCTGAGGCATCACGGACTCCTCCCTCCTCCTCATTCCTGACATCTGCTTGTTTTATAGTTACCTTGAGTAGTCTCCCTTCTCTCTGCCTCCTTCCTCACACTTTGTACCTGGACTATTAGGATGGATTCTTCTCCTTTCTCCACACTGGAAGGTTAATTTTCTAAACTACGGATCCAAAATGAATGTCACACATTTAAAATCCTTTCACTGCTGCCTAGAATAGGGTCCACATTTCTGAACTTGACCTTTCTATTGTGCAAAAAAAGCACTTCCAAAAAGCCCACTTCTTCCAAGAAGCTCTCCCTGATTGCCGTACCCTCTCTGTGTTCACAGAGTAATTCAGAATTTACTTAAATGTGAATGCGTGCATAGGTCTTCCATTTGTTTGTGAGTTTAAATACATTTTACTGAGCACTGTTCATTTTGGTTTCTTCCAAGTGACTCATAGATCAAAGTTTAATAACCTGTTGGTGACTAATTGAGGAGAATATGCCATCAGGATTCTATAGAAACATAAAAATAGGTGACAGATATACATTTCCTCTGCATAGGAATATTTAAGCTTTTATTACCCATCATCATCGTTATTATGCTGTTTTTACTGTCATTTCAGGCACATGGGCATTTTCTCATTAGTATTATTGATCACATTTTATTTCTGTTAAGTATGCTTAAATAGTGTGGTAAATCTCGTCCATAACAGGGAGCATTTGAGTTGTTTGGGGCTATAAATGACTTTCTTCTTTCTTTTCCTTTTTCTTGACGAAAATTGCCTCCAAATGGTATTTCTACACTTACGGAGACTTTCATTTTATGGAGAGCTGTTGAGCTCTTCTGTAGAAGTGGATTCTTTTTAAGGATTCGAGAAAGCTCCTTCCTTGGGCTGTGAGCTCCCTCATCTCAGACAGCTCTCATCCTGAAACGGACTCGACTCTGGTCTTAAGGGCAGGCTCTGAACTCCGGGACCAAGTTCCCAGCTCTGCTTTTGCCTTGTGAGGCCTTGGGAAAGGATTTAACGTCCTCGGCCAAACCACTGTGGGAATCCTGTCTTGCCCGATGAGCTTGCACATTAGGGGCGCCTGGGTGGCTCAGTCAGTTAAGCATCTGCCTTCGGCTCAGGTCATGATCCCAGCATCCTGGGATGGAGCCCAGTGTCGGACCCCCTGCTCAGCGGGGAGCCTGCTTCTCCTTCTCCCTCTACCCGTCCCCCTCCTTGTACTCTCACTCGTTCTCTCAAATAAATAAAATCTTTAAAAAAACTTGCACAACCTTAAAAGAAATAGAAGGTTTAACAACCAGCTGCTCGGGCTGCAGTTCTGAGGCTGAGGTGTACTTACAAGAACCATAACTGAGAAGATGGTCTTAAACTAAGGACTGACAGACGCTCTCTGTCCCCAGTACCCCTTTTTTAATGGCCCCTTTCTTTGTTCTCCTTGAAGTTCTTTAATTTTGCCAATTAATAATTCATCAGAAGCTCTGTCCAAGCGGCACAGCAGTAAAAGTAGAACAGAGAAGAGAGGAAAGAAAAAACTCTCTGGAGGCGCCTGGGTGGCTCAGTGGGTTAAAGCCTCTGCCTTCAGCTCAGGTCATGATCCCAGGGTCCTGGGATCGAGCCCCGCATCGAGCTCTCTGCTCAGCAGGGAGCCTGCTTCCTCCTCTCTCTCTCTCTGCCTGCCTCTCTGCTTACTTGTGATCTCTGTCTGTCAAATAAATAAAATCTTTAAAAAAGAAAGAAAGAAAAGAAAGAGCTCTTCACAGCATCAAGTGAAGCCGACTGGAAACCCCGCCCTCCTGGGCTTATCTCCCGGTGGGGGGAGACGGGTGGTCTCCTCCCTGCACACCTGCAAGCTGGGATTGTCGTCCTTGCATTGACAGAAAGAGCTGCAGTGCCGATGTGAGGGGGGCCGCCCCCCAGCCCAGCTCTGCCTTTGCACCAGTGGCACCCCTGTGAGGGCCAAAGAGGCCGGGACTGCCGGGCACCGGGGGCTGGCCTCAGGCTATGCATCGCTGGCTCAGGAAATGGTGACAGTCACTAGAGATGTTCCTCCACAGAAATACTCTTGACACAGCCTGGGGTCTGAGGCACCCAGTCCTGTATGCCACCTTCCCCAGTCCCCCCTACCCCAGCTGCCCTGAGGACTGAGGACGCAGCGAATCAGAACCCCGTAACCCCTTCTTCGTTCCCTGTGCGTGGGAAGCAGGAGAATTCTCCTCCTTGCTCTCAGCCTTCTCCTCCCCGCCGTGCCCATCTGTTCCTCCTCTTTGGGAAGGACGTCCCAGTTCACCTGGGAGTCACCTTGACTCCTCCGTCCCCCACAGCCTGGCTCACTGAATTCTACGTCTTTCCTCCTTGCTTCTCCATTGCGCCACCACAGACTCCGTCGTCCACCCCCGCACGCCCCCACAGCCCGGCTCGCCCCTTGTGCGGTCAAGAGGCAGCCTCAGCTGAGGAAAGTTTGGAACCTCTGGGCTCTTGCCCATCTTTTGATCATAGCACCAGAGCCAAGGGTTGGTTTCTGCCCCCACGTATTCACATCTTAAACCCGTGATAATTTAATTCTTCCTGTTTTACAAACAGGGAGGCTTTGGTCCAACCAGTTGAAATCACTTACTCAAGAAACACAAATAAGACCTGAACCAAGATACAGTTCCAACTCCAGCTGCTCTAAATTCAGAGCACAAACCGTGTCTCTCAACTGCCTCCCTTCAGAAGGCAACTGAGTCACATACGACTGGTTGAAGGAAGTGGGACCCTAGGGTGGTGACTTTGCTTGGGTGGGACTCCACGACCACCTCAGAGCACAAACGGGCTGCCTCCTCCCTGTCGGCTGCTGGGCCATTGGCCCTTCTCAGGGCTTCGCTAACAGCACTTTGTGAAATAGAACCGTATCAGACCCAAACAGCGCCAAATTTATCACCTGGAGTAAATTTGCAGAGTTGTAAAACTGAATGAGTTTTTCCTTCTTTATTTTGTACACCTTAATTACTAGGGAAGGAGTACATTAAAACTGAGATCATGGGTTAATTAATTTGTCCTGGACTGTAGAATTTTATGGACAACCAGAACTAAAGTAATGGTTGTGTAGGTGGAATTGACTAAACATGGCTTATAAATGTTACAGAAATTCCTGTAATTAGTCCCACTGCTGCAATTGAGCCTGGGAATTTTATAGCAGACATAAATTAAGAAGATGAAAAGGAAGAAAAATTTTGAGTTGACATAGTGGCATTTGCAGAAGCTATCATTTGAGGAAACCTGATTTGCGTTATTATTATTATTAATGATGACTTTTTGGGGGGGTTTTGCAATCCCCCTCCCTTTCAAAATTCACTTTTTAATGCCGTTTCCACTGTTACACGATGGCTATCGGGTGTTCGGTGAATTAAACACAAGTGGTACCTTACGAAAATAGACCACCAGCATCATTTCTAAAAATACTTAACCGCCAACCAGAGGATGAAGAGACCTGTTTGATCACACTCTTCAAAGTCATTTTTGCATATTTGAATAGATTGAAAGGGAAAGTTACGGGTTATATTTAAATAGTGTTCCCTGTCATTGGATCTTGACACATTTTAACCTACCTGTTAAAATGCAAGTTATAAATAGCTCCTCTTTCAAAGGTGTTCATTATACCTCATTGGCTCTTGTTACAGAAAATGCAAATGTAATTTGAAAAGTGCCCGTTCTGAGTGCGAGCAATTACCTGTGCTCTTCAATACCTGGTTCATTGTCAGCCGAGCCACTTGGTTCAAAAGCGTGTTTGCCTTTGAAACAGAGATCGCCTCCACCGGCTGGCCAGCTCGCTGGCTGGCTAAGTAGGTAATGAGAAAATACTTGGCTTTTCCAGGGAAGCAAGCAGCTGCTGAACAACTATCCTGTCTACATAACGAGCAAACAGTGGGACGAGGCTGTAAATTCTTCCAAGAAAGACGGGCGACGGCTCCTTCGATATCTCATCAGATTTGTTTTCACAACCGATGAGCTTAAGTACTCATGCGGCCTTGGGAAAAGGAAAAGGTCAGTGCAGTCAGGAGAGACAGGTCCTGAAAGACGCCCTCTGGATCCAGTTAAAGTAACATGCCTCCGAGGTACTGCATCCTTCCGCTCAGTGTCGCCATCTGTGATCTCATTTCACCGCATTGGCTGTGGCTCTCCCTTGCAAGTGTTCAGCCTTGACTGTATTTTGGTTTTGCCCGCTGAGACCTCTATAGGCTTCATGTGGCCCATCTACTCGGTATCGAGAAGTTCTTTAAAAAATCTCCGTTTGCTTTAGCCTTGGCATTCTCACTTCCCGGCCCATAAACATTGCATAGCACCTCATGTCTCACGCTTTGAATTCCGATTTTCTTTGCTGCCACAGAAGGCCCCATCTAGCCAACCAGGAGCGTCGGGGATCAGACAGAGGAAGGGATGATGGGGAGCTCTTTAAGCATTAGGAAAATGAGAGACCTCGTTTCCATTTGCAGCCTGGGCCCCCCACCCCTCCCCCAGCTACCTTCTCAAGAGGACTTGCCCCCAACTCCTTCGATTTATTTAATTTTCCTGAATACTGGGGTGCCTAAAGTATCTGTTGCCCAGTCAGACTTTATTCTGTTAGTCTTTTTAAAGTCTCTTTATTAAAAATATTGCTCTGTGGGTACCTTTCCTCAGTACGAGCAGCTGATGACTTCACAGCTGACCCACACTGGTAGGCCAGGCAGAGGACGAGGACGAGGGTCAGGAGGCAGACAGTTGGTTCAGCGGGTGCAGAGAAACACAGCCTCAGACAGGTAGAAGCATTCGAGGGCCAACAGGAACACTGTTCACACCTGAAAAATTTCGTATCAAAAAGCTCAAGTTCTAACCTGTATATTTCAATAGTAATTTTATTGGTTGGAAAAAATTTACTCTGGACAGGGGAGCAAAATATTTCCTGGCAAGGAAGGCACAGTGAGGAGACATTATTGCTGATAAGGCCTTGGTGTACAGCAAGGACACTCCAGCATCCCCTCCTGGGATGCCCGCGGTGTTCTGCAACAGTAGTCTGCCTGAGGCACAGGGAGACTCTCTTAGCAGCTGAAATTCCTCAGGCCCACTGCAAGCTTCTGACTGAGCAGGGCTGGAGCTGGAGAAGGGGGAGGCGTGCACTGCTGCTCATCATAGCCCCCCCACACACACACCTCAGGTGATTTTAGCGCAGGTGGCCCGGCCTTGAGGGAACCTTCTGGAATGGAAGCATCTCAATCAGCTAGGCATCCAGAGCACCCCCTGTTGGCCAGTCTGAAAATTCCGCTTACTCGCAGTGGGTGATGGGGATTTCCAGGATCTGTCTTAACGAACTCGCCACAGTTTCCTTCATTCCTCAACAGCATCAGAGCTGACAGTTACTTCCCCAAGAGTAAAAGAGACATCTGTGAGCTTGGGGCTCTCCTGGGAACACTGTACTCCACAAAGTTGCTCTGGGGCCTGTAAAGGGAGTCAGGACAAGAGGCCTCACCACTGTATCTCTTTCCAGAAATTGTTACTCAATGTTTTACGTTTTAAGCAGCGAGTGAGTGAAACTGAGGGATTAACATACACCCCAAAACCCTCATGCCTTGCCCTGAGAACGTCGCCTGACCCCCTGTGACACGGGTAGAGTCCAGGTGGGCTAATCAGCATCCGTATCCTCCAGCTCAAGCCTCATTAGGCACCACACCTACAGGCCTCCAGGTGGAGGATGCCCCTGGGTGGAGAACACAGAGGCAGAAAACAGTGGTGGTCTGTGTGGGGGCAGCTGGGCCAGACATTTATAGGCTTGTCCCCAAAGCTGAGCTTCTAGGGCCTTCCTGTGACCCAGATTCCTTTCATAAAGGCTCCCGGGGTGAAGGTCCGTGTTGGGTAAGCAAGATTAGAGCAGCCAAGGAAACTTCAGACACTGGACACTTTAGTGATGGAAAATGGGGTGCTTTGGTGTGGAACCAAACTCCAGGCTGACCGCTTCTGAAGGTGGTTTGACCCTAGGGGGAAGAGGGCCTGTGAAGACGTGTCCTGTCTGTGTAACAGAAGGAGATCTCAGTAGTCTGTACCACAGTATCAGAGAAGGCCCTGTGTCAGCAGCAGTCACCGAGAGGAGAGTGGAGGCGGACAGGCGTCACAGAGCAGCACGGTCCCGGAGGTGCGGGGTCAGGGCGTCTTCATCCATTAGCCCGTATTTCCTTGTGTTGATAGGAGTGGGGGATCAGAGACGGGGAAACTACAGCAGTTAGTGGATACCTACTGAATACAGTAGGGGTTGGAGGGGTACGGAAGAGGACTAGGGAGTTATCCTGCAGTGTTTCCCAGGCCTGCCCCCTAAGCTAAGCCATCTGATTCCAGCAGTTTTGCAGGATGAGTTGCTGAGTAAACACTGTTCATTCCCTTGAGTAAGGCAGCTAGGCTGGGACTCTGGTGAGGCGAGCGAGGCTCTCACATCAGGCACAGAATCGAAGGGGCTGTCCCTGGCTCTCTGCTAAGCTAGAGGCTGCCTGTGGAGATGGGCACGGTTCAGTTCCTGAGATCGCTGGGGTCTGGGTACTTGAACAGCATCAGCCTCTTCTAAGTGCAAGTAGGGCCGGGATTTCACCCAGTCATTTCAGACAGTTCCAGCCCTACAACCAGACTGGTTGTCTTGTAGAGGGAGCAGGGCTGGAGAAGAAACGGTGTGTAATTAACAGTCACCTTGTCACCTTGTCAGCTGTGCAAAAAGCAAGGAATTTGACAGAACTTTTCCCAAAATGCTCACTTCAGTTTACAAGTGTCCATATCAAAATAGCGAGGCAGGAGTCCTACACGTGCCCTGACCCCCTGAGAAAACAGAAGAAAGGATCGCGTGAGCTCGACCCAAAGGGAGGCTGAGTCTGTCTCATCGGAGTCTTGGTTCCTTTTTATACATTCACCCTTCTGGGCATGCTAATTGCTTTCTGGTGAAAATAAATATTTAGAGGAAATCTCATTTAAGAAATATCTGTCAGTACATGTGTGGATATCCCAATCAGAGAAATAAGTATGACCTATAATACATGTAAAGAACGTGGTGGAAGAGGTGGAAACCTCTTCTGAACCAAAATCCAGGCAGTTTCTCAGCCCCTGAGATTTTGTCATCCTGTGGAACTTAGTTTGCCAATCAGTAGCTGGTCAAAGAACACCATGCTAGTGAGATCTGCTGTTTCCGGAAACACCGAAAATTCTAAAGATGTGAGCAGATACCGATGTAGGTTTGAAATGCACCGTGACTTTGTCTCCACGGTGTATAGTCCATGTTATAAATCAGATCTGCCTTTCATTCCACTAGCCAGTGTTCCTTAGAGGATCACCTTCTCGCTTCACGTGATTTTTTACTTTTGCACAAGAGTAGACGACTTCCATGTAATCAGCTGAGTCTAAGAAGTGACATCATCATAGCATTACATTGGATTTCCCATAAAGCTTTTCTTGTAGAGCTTCTGTAAATGTGTAAGCAGCCTGTCCGTCCTCTTCTGCAAAAACCAGCTGTTTTTCTCTCTCTCTTTATTGTTGTGTATATTCCCACAGAGTTCATTAGGATGCACTGTACCTCCAATCCCGACTGGTGGATGCCCTCGGAGGAGCAGATAAACAAAGTGTTCAGCGACGCCGTGGGGCACGCCCGGCAGGGGCGGGCGGTGGGGACTTTCCTGCACAACGGCGGCTCGTTCTATGAAGGGATCGACCACCAGGCTTCCCAGGATGAGGTCTTCAATAAAAATTCCCAGGATGGGTCCGGGGATTAGTGGACAGAATCTTGACACTGGAGCAGCTGGTCCTCTCACGAGTTCCAGTTGTCCACATCCTGTTCCCCTCACCTGCGAGTCCAAAGCACGTCCTTCTGCCAGACTTGACACATCTCAAACCTTAAGTCTCTGACCTACCGCCACCATTCCCAAACAAATCCATTTTAGGGTTGTTTGGGAAGTCTGTGGGACCTACAACAGGCTTTCAGGAGATTACAAAAAGCAAAGAACCACAATTGCGTTGAATTGATTGCTAGCTAGACAGTGAGGCTGAAAACAATAGGGGAGCTCCTGGTCACGTGTCCGAAACCTTCTCGTAAGCTCCGCTTCCCAAGCAGAGCCGGTCCCCACGGAAGGCCGGGTTAGAGTAGAGAAGACAGAGACATGGAGTTATTTTAAGGGACGACGAACAAACATTCTCTTACTTTAATTCAAATAAGTTGTCTTTATATTTTCCAAAGACCTGAATTCCTACTTCTCAGCAAGGACATAGGATAAGTGACACTGTGTTGTCTGAGCATTGACAAAGCCTCTGAAAAACCCAGAGAAAAGAGGTCACTGCTAGACAATGATTCGTTGGAAATCAGGTGGGGTTTTTTTCAGTTATTTTAGAATCCACTCCCCCCCCCCCCGCAAAAAAATTTTTACTATGTTGATCAGAAAGGCACTACACGATCTCTGGAGTTTACAAACAGTAAGTTTTCGTTATGTCAGTCAAGAAATCTCCAAAGATCCAAAACGCTTTTCAAATGCTTGATTTCGTAGGTTCATAGACCCACAGTTTCCATAGCCTTAACTCAGACTTTGTTGACTCAACGCCAAAGTGACGGGTTGAGCAACGAGAGTTTTAACCACTCAGCTGTTCGGCGCACTGAAGACCGAACAAGTGGTGTGACTGACGGTATTCACTGAACTGACCAGATGTTCGGGAATTGTGTACACACGGCTTCAAGGCCATTCTGACAACTATGCAATGGGCCTGTCTGTAATTGCTCTGAAATGTGAGGGTCTTTCTCTGAGTAGATCTTTAGAATTTGCATAAACTTTTGTTTCTTATTGTCACTGATGAAAGTGTTTCATCCCAACTGTTTTGCTGTTTGGCATCTCCTTCCCGCCCAACCCCCACCCCCCATTGTAGTTCCCTTGAACTACAAGCTCTGGCTGAGTTCACACTAAACCACTCCCACTTGTTTCCTCCAGTTTAATTGGTTGAGCTCCTTCTGTGAAATGACTACTGTCTTTGGGAACATTCCTTACGTACAAACTATGGAGATACCAGAATCTGTTTCTGAGGACTTCCGGTTTGGCTGGCGGGAGAAGCCTCCTCTATCGCATTTAATCCGATTGTTACGTTCTTTGTGGAGCCTAGGGCTCAGTGGGCAGAAGTTACTGAAGGCTATTAATGTCGTCTAAAGACATGACTAAGGGTTTTGAAAATTAGTTGGAAATTCATTTAAAGTTCACGAGCATCCATTTATAAAGAGGTTTTTGTAACCATTTTTTGTGAGACAGTAAATTATCCTTTATGTTCAATAGTTAGCATCAACTATATGCATGGTCCTGGGAATAGGCCCGTCTTTAGCTTTTGTTAGGATTATGAGTTTCATCCATTGAAAAGTTTAATGTTATAGAGATGGTCCTTTGTCTGATCTGTTCGGTGGTGTGAGAAGAACTAACAGTTCAATCCTGTTTTGGGCAAGTCAGCTAATATTTGTGAGTAAAGGAAATGATAAGACCAGATGTGATGTTGGTTAGGGGAACCAAGAGACAGAGAAAGCGATTCTTCAAGGAGTTTTCAGAGGTCTGAGAAGTCAATACTTTACAGGATCCTTTGGTGACAGGAAATCTTGGTCTGACGCAAACTGTCACCATAAGCATGTTACCTTTGTCTTTTTTGCATTAGGCTTTAGTTATCCTTACCACTGAGGACAACGTCCTTTTTTTTTTTTCCCTTTAGCAACAGTATTTGACCACTGCTCAAAAAACTCCTCTCTTGTCCCTGCAAGCTTGAAAGTGTGGCATGTCTCCCCATCTAAGCGTCGTCGTAGATCTCTGTGTTGTGCTGGTCTAGACTGAGGGGTTTGATGAGAGCATCTCGGCCCTCACTCTCCGTAGCCTTGTGTCATACGTGCTTAAAGATGAAGGGCTGGTGGGGTGCCTGGGTGGCTCAGTGGGTTAAAGCCTCTGCCTTCAGCTCAGGTCATGATCTCAGGGTCCTGGGATTGAGCCCCCTATCAGGCTCTCTGCTCCATGGGGAGCCTGCTTCCTCCTCTCTCTCTCTGCCTGCCTCTCTGTCTGCTTGTGATCTTAGTCTGTCAAATAAATAAATAAAATATTTGGGAAAAAAAAAAAGATGAAGGGCTCGCACCACTGCTGTGAGAGAGGGTGATGGGAACCTTCAGTTTGGCTGTAGTTAGCATCACCTGAGAAGGCTGCTAGGGTAGATCTGCCTCCCAAACCACAGGGTCGCACACAGCCTTTGCTCCATAGGCACACCTGGTCTCCCTCCCATCCTGCCTTCTGGGTGAATTATTTCTCTAGCATCTGTTTTTCAGTGTTCCACAATGCTGGCCATCTCTTAGCACTTGAGGAAACCAAGACCCAGGAAGATCACTGGCTTCCTCAGCCTTGCACAGCCAGTTCGAATCCCTCTCCTGGACCCAGGGCCTCGGGTCAGTTGCCCTGGGTCAGGTGTTCCATGACCTTCTTTGCCGTGTGTGTGTGTCTGTCTGTCTGTCTAGATCTTGTGATCCTGGCCACTACCTGAGCCGCACACTGACAGTCCCTGGGGGCGCGGCCCAGCATCTACGGAGACACCCACCATCTCCTCTCCTCAGTGTGCGGTCTGGGCCGTTTTCTGAGCTCTCCGGCTTCTTCACGGTGGGGGCCTCATGGTCACCTCACTTTCAGATCAGGGCTCGCAAAGGATGTTGATGGATTTGTGGTGAGACCGGTGTGCCCTCGACAGAGCGAGACTGTAAAAACTCACCCCCAAGAAGCCCAGATGCTGTCGCTGCTCTGTCTTCCTTCCTGTTGATCTCTGGAGACCTGAGGGGGCTGCTCATTTTCTTGAGTTGATTCTCTACCTTTTGTTGGCAGTTGGACAGGTTGCTCGTGACTAGAAGCTTCGCTTCGTGTCAGCTTGTAGAATCGTCCTTGAGTCATTTTAGCACTGGCACAAAATGGGTCAAGTTAAAGCCGCTCAGGACGCAGCTGTGCTCCACGGCCCTGGTGAGAGAGGGAGGACCCAGGCCTGGCACGGAGGGCGTGGCTTGGCATCATGACCTGTCCGAGGTGTGTCCCCTGAGCGTGGTGATCAGGAGAGTCCTCGACAGTGACAGTGTCTTGACGTGTCTCGTGACTTCCCAAATTAAGACGATATCACAGAGAGGATGCCGGCTTTTCAAACTGACGGGAAGGCCCAGGTGCCCTTCCACTGGGCTCGGGACAGCCCTCCCGTGGCCCATGTCAGAGGACGTAGGCCAGGAAGCCGCAGAGGGGAGCAATGTTGTGGGAGCAGTTTTACTAGAAGCACAATTCTCATGGTCTCTGAAAGGTACGCTGCTCACAGTGTCATGGTTTAGTCAGCCCAGTGTTAAGTTAAATGCTTGAGGAAATCTGTAAACGCGGAAGAGTATACCTTCCATTTTTACTTGAAAGTTATTTCATCCGGCCCTGAAACCTGGGCATCTCTCTGTTAGCGTTCCCAGTTTCTGCCACAGGGTTCAGGTTCCCGTCACCATCGGTGTTTCCTAAGGTTTTACTAGGGAATGGAGGAGGACGGTGACAGAGTGTGTGCAAAAAAATGGCTGCCCTCTCCTTTGGTGAGGGAACTGAGAGGTGTATGCGGCTACTTCACAGCTGTAGAGCACGTGGGTGAATTTATATTCTGGATCTTTCTTGGCCCTTCATCAGCCATAAACACATTGACCTAAGAGATTTATCAGCATTATAGAGGTATAAATTGTTACAGTGTATTATTTGATCCAACTACTCCTTGTGTCAGATGTGTGGAATGGTTTCTGTAGCCCAGTAGCTATTCTTACAATATCAGACATTCTCCCCAAGTCTAGACAAAAATATAGACTTGGGATCCTGCAGGTTCGTGATTTCTACATTTTCCTACCACCTTTCATATCTTGTCCTCCCTCCGGTTGCTCTCAGAAAATGGATGGGGCATCATGTGAGATGAAACATGCACGATTTTCAGAAAAGCACACCTAAATCTGCCCTCATTTGGATTTTGTCATACAGCTTGTGCTCCAGAATCTCAACCTGCTGCCCACTGACTACCTCCTTAGTTTTTTCTCAGATTTCAGTCACTTGTTAAGATCTCATTCTCGGATAACTTTATTTTTAGAAAAGATTTAAACCGAACTTTTCTCATTCAGTGGTATGTCATTTCACAGTACAGATCTATAATTTTTGACAGCTCTCATATACAGATTTCTAGAGATGTAATAGAAAAACGATTTTGCACATATGGTGCAAGTCTTGCTGGTGTACGTTTCATGTGGCAACACTTGCCATAACTTCTTGGCAAAACATGTCAACTCGAACGCTTGAGTCAGAACTCTGATGTAAATGTGTCTAAACAGCGGTATGCATCATTATGATATATTTTTGTAAACATAGTGATGGCTTCTTTCAAGCGTCTAAGTACTGAATAAAAATAATCGCTTCCCTTGGAATAATGTAGGGAGATGCTCCCCAGATGATGGCCCTCTGCACAGTTACTTGCTCCGTCAGCCAGTGGCATTCATGTTTTTTAGAGAGTGAAGGAATGATACCCAGCAACGTAGAGTGTAGGAAAACCAGGCCACCAGGACTTGCCTCCTCAAGTGTAAACCTCCCAGCCGTACCTGACAGCATCCACCTGGGAGAGGCCGCCCTCATCCTCTGTGCTGTGTTCAGTTGTAGGAAACACTGAGAGGACTGGACTTGGTTCACCTATTGACCGGCTTGGTCACTTTGCCTCCTGAAGCTCTAAATTGACCAAATCTCTGTGGTACGAGGGGCCCGAGTAACGTTCCTCGTGACCCTCCACAGCTGGCTGATACGAGGGCTGAGTGTTCAGTCACAAGTTCCCCAAGTTCATGTGAAAAGACATCCACTCAGAAGACTCTTCCGAAATAACTGCCCCAGTTCAAATGGCCACGTTGGTTTTGGCCACATTGGGAAACTGTTGAGGCCCGTCCCAGACCGCTCACAAGTGTCCTAACTGTAGCTGACCGTCCTTGAGTTCTGATGTGCCGGGTTCTCTCCTAAGCACTTTAATGCATTCTCTCCTTTGAACCCTCCCAACCACCCTCCGAGGCGGTTACTGTTGTCCCAGTCCATCTGTAAGGACACTACCCACAGTGGAGAATCACTGGGCTTAGTAAGCGGGGTGACCAGTTCTGTTTTCCCTGTGGTCAGAGCAGAGTTCTTAAAGCCCATCAACACTTTGGAATGGATTTTGTTTAATGTATGGCATCGAGGGAAAGATGGTATTTCTGTTATTAAAAACCACCTTTAAAGTACATTGATGTTTAAATAGGACCTCCTCTGGTAACCGCCCGA